AACCATCATCGCTATGGGGATCCCTAAGTCGGCCTCCTCCACGATCTTCCATTGTTTATGGACGTTGGGTTTTTACCATTCTTGGATTTGTAGGAGGTGGCAGGCGACATAGTATAAGTAAAAATCCGGTAGTGCCATACCCCCCTTTTCCTTTGGTTGTATGAGTTGCGAGAATTTGAGCCTGGGTCTCTTCCCGTTCCATACATACCCCCCTAGAAACCTGCGGAGGGATCTAAAGTACGTTTGGGGGATCCTTATGGGTATGGCTTGGATCCGATACAGAAGCCGAGGGAGAAAATTAATTTTGACTAGCTGGACTTGTCCAAGCCAGGAGACGTAGGGATATGACCATTCCCCCACGTCCCTCCTAAACGCGGCCAGCATTGGGGTGAAGTTTTCTGTAAATAGGTCTTCGCTTCATTTAGTGAGCCAGATGCACAGGTATCTAACTTTGGTGTCTCCCCACTGGAACACGTAGCTCTGGCGAAGTGGGGCCTCCCAGTGCTGAGGCACTGAGATGTTGAGGATGTATGACTTTGCAAAATTTATTTTCATATTGGATAATGTGCCGTATTCTCGGAAGGCTTTAATTATGTTCGGGAGTGAGATTTTGGGTGTTTTTGACAAAAAAAATAAAAGGTCGTCAGTGTAAGCCGCGACCTTATGGTGTGTACCGCCCTGTTCACCCCCTGGATATCCGGGTTATGTCTCACTGCGTGGAGGAACGGCTCTAGGGCCAGGACAAAAAGCAGTGGTGATAGGGGACATCCCTGGCGGGTGCCATTGTGTATAGTGAATTCCTCTGTTAGTGCACCGTTAACAATAACTTGTGCCCTTGGTTGCCTTTATAGGACCCCTATCCATCCCCTCATGTGTGTCCCTAGACCAAAGTGTAAAAGGACCTGAAACAGGTATGGCCATCCGATCCTGTCGAAGGCCTTCTCCACGTCCGTGGATAGCCGGAGAAGGCCCCCTCAATTTAAAATTCTGGTGCTTGCTTACAAGTCCCTACATAATGCTGCTCCAACCTACCTAACCTCCCTAATACACAAGTATGTCCCGTCGAGGCCCCTACGCTCTGCCAAAGACCTACGTATATCCTCTATCCATACTCCCACCTCTAACGCTCGCCTCCAAGACTTTTCCAGGGCTGCACCTGTTCTGTGGAACTCCCTTCCCTCTTCCGTAAGAATTTCACCCAGTCTCCACTTATTCAAACGATCATTGAAAACTCACTTTTTCAAGAAAGCATATCAATTAAACTGTTAGCAGGTTTTTATCCCCCACCCTCCATGACTCCTTTACTGCAACTGTCAAAAATTACCTACTAAGCCCTCAGCGAATACTTTTCTAACAACTTACTTCGTACCCCTACTTTTACCCTTTGTGTCACTTCCTCTAGAATGTAAGCTCGTTGAGCTGGGCCCTCCACCTCTATGTTCCTGTACGTCGAGTTGTCTAGTTACAATTAAATGTCTGTTAGTCCACCCTTTGTACAGCGCTACAGAATCTGATGGCGCTATATAAATAATAAAGTAATAATAATAATATACAAAAATTCAATTGAAACACACTCAGATACTGTTGTGCTCAGAAGTGTGCATACCCTGGCAGAAATTATGAAATTTGGCATTGATTTTAAAAATATGAATGATCATGCAAAAACATTTCTTTTATTGAAGGATAGTGATTATATGAAGCAATTTTTAATCACACATTTGTTTGGCTCGTTTTTCAAACATAATGATAACAGAAATCACACAAATGACCCTGATCAAAAGTTTACATACCCTTGCATGTCTGGTCTTGTTACAGACACACAATGTGACACACAGGTTAAAATGGCAACTCAATGTTAATTTTTCACACCTGTGTTTTTTTTTATTGCAATTAGTGTATGTGTATAAATAGTCAATGAGTTTGTTAGCTCTCCTGTGGATGCACTGAGAAGACTAGATACTGAGCCATGGGGAGCAGAAAAGAACTATAAAAAGACATGTGTAACAAGATAATGAAACTTTAGATGGACTAGATGAAGTCCATCTAGAATCTATAAAGATGGAAACAAATATAAAAACATATCTATAGCATTGAAAATGACTGTCTATACTGTTCAGTCACTTATTAAGAAGTTGAGTATTTGGCGAACTCTTGATACCAAGCCAAGGTCAAGCAGCCCAAGAAAGATTTCAGCCACAACTGCTAGAAGAATTGTTCGGCATACAAAGAAAAACCCACAGGTTACCTCCGAAGAAATACAGGCTGCTCTGGAAAAAGATGGTGTGGTTGTTTCAAGGAGCACAATATGACGATACATGAACCAAAAAGAGCTGCATGGTCGAGTTTCCAGAAATAAACCTTTACTGCACCAATGCCACAAAAAAGCCCGGTTATAATATACCCAACAACACCTTGACATGCCTCACAGCTTATGGCACATTTCTAATTTGGAGTAACAAGACCAAAATAGAGTTTTATGGTCACAACCATAAGTGCTATGTTGAAGAGGGGTCAAAGACTATAGTGAAAAGAATATCATCCCCACTGTGAAGCATGGTGGTGGCTCACTGACATTTTGGGGTGGTGGGGGGGGAGTGTGAGCTCTAAAGACACAGGGTATCTTGTGAAAATTGATGGCAAGATGAATGCAGCATGTTATCAGAAAATACTGGCAGACAATTTGCATTTTTATGCATGAAGGTTGCGCATGAGACACTCTTGGACTTTCCAGCATGGCAATGACCTTGAGCACAAGGCCAAGTTGACCCTCCAGTGGTTACAACAGAAAATGTGAAGGTTCTGGGGTGACCATCATAGTCTCCTGACCTTAATATCATCGAGCCACTCTGGGGAGATTTTAAATGTGCGGTTCCTACAAGATGACCATAGACTTTGCATGACTTGGATGCATTTTGCCAAGACGAATGGGAAGCTATAACAGCTGCAAGAATTAGGGGCCTTATAGACAACTATTACAAAAGACTGCACACTGTCATTGACCAGACTTTTGAACAGGGGTTATTTCATTTTTTCTTTGTTGCCATGTTTTGTTTTATGATTGTGCCATTCTGTTATAACATACAGTTGAATATGAATCCCATAAGAAATAAAATAAATATGTTTTGCCTGCTCACTCATGTTTTCTTTAGAAATTGTACATATATTACCAATTCTCCAAGAGTATGCAAACATTTGAGCACAACTGTGCACAGCCACATATATAGACATGCACTCACACACACAGTTACATAATAACATAGACATATGCATACATAGACACTCACAGGCACAGACATACATACATACATACATACATACACACATATATTTATTGATTCACTCTCCTATTCTTGTCACTTTCACCTTACTTTTGTAGACACTGAGAGAGGTAAGGAGGATGTAGTTACAGTCGACTCTGATATCTAGTGGTGGAGGAGGCGGGTCTCCTTCCTGCTTCCCATTTTGTAGGCACAGTCCACATATAACTCCACACCCACTGCCTTTATCATTGGTCCACCGACTAGGACTATTAACGACCAACTTCAACATAAAAATTCCTATCATTGCTGTGTTTTTGATCAAGGCCAAACTACATCCCTAAAGTGATGTCAACATAATTGTTATACTGCTACTCTCACTGTATGTTATAAAATGAATACAAATTAAAAGATACCTGTAAGTCTTAACAATTGATACCAACAATAGTTCTGCAAATGACTCAAAAATATTGAAAAATCTATATTTTTGGGTAACCATAAATACCCATATCTTGTTATTCATGACTATGTTTTGTTTTGGACTTGGTTCATATACTAACTATTGGAAATAAATGTTACATTTTATTTTTAAGGAAAGTGAAAAGTATAGCAACATTTTTCTCAATTCATTAAATTCGACATTATTCCAGCCTAAAGATATACAAAGTCTTGGAAAAACTCTGGCCACTAAATAACTCAATGGGTTAATAAGGATTTGTCTCTGATAAAAAAACATTTTGCCACAAAAACCGTGAATGATCAACAGGGACTTGTAAAATGTCTCTTTCTTTTTTTTAGTATCTAAATAGCTTTAAGCTGATCTGAATAGAGGAAGGAAGCTGTGAGCAGAATCATTATAATAAGTGTTATCCAGAACACTTAGCTAAACACCTCCAGGCTCAGTAATAAGACCCTCATCACACACTACTTTCACAACTACAAGCTTTACACTATGAACTTCATTAGCAGAGCCTGGTCTTATCTGTCCAGGTCATACATATGAGAGTATGCATTACTATATTGTACAATCATATCAAATATTCCTTTTTCGAAGGTTTGTACATGTTTAAGATAGGTTTAAGATAGACATGAATCCATTCTTCCAGACCTTGGACTGTCAGAATTGTACATAATTGCAAATCAAATTTCAAACCTTTCAAAAAGTGGAAATTTATATATTTAGAAAAAAAACACATTTTACTCTTTTAATTTGCTTTATTCAACACATGCACTTTTATGAATCAATTTTTATTTCTTCTTATAGTTGTCTGGTACTTCCAGAGCCTGCAGTTGCTACCTCTATATCACTGTTAGTTCACTATTCACTTACTCCTGTGCTAACTTTGTTTCCAGAACATGCATACGTGTTGGATTCCAAGTTATCAGTCATCAACATTTCCACGGAATGCGTTTGTACAGTGCTCTTCTCCGATGTGAACTCCTGGAAAGTCATAGTACCCCAGTTAATATTCTGTCAGTCAAATTAGCATTTCATGTATTTATCTATTGTTATAATTTTCTTGTATCAATATTTCTGGTATAAATAGTATTCAATTAACGGGATTCAGCAACAAGGACGCAGTCGCTTCCATTGTAGCCTCTCACCACCATGGATCCAGGGCCCACGCATCCATAAGGTGGTCCAAGTGACCGGCAGGAGGAACGCGCACAGTGCTCCTCTCCTTCTGGTCACTTATTGTAGCGTGGCCGAGTGCCAGCCTGCAGTGCCGCAGACTGTGTGGAGGGGGGTGGGGATATGAAGACATCATATCTCTGCTCCATGTGTAGTACACATCATGGCTGGTCCCCAGCAGCGGCAGAGCTACCGCCAACCCCCTTCTTTTCAGCATGGGAGGAAGTGATGTCCTCCCAAGAAGACTGGAGCAGGAGAAGGCAGAGACAAGGGGGGCTGGGCTGGGCCAGCTCCTCCAACTCCCAACTACCTCAGGCAGCACTCTGGATCCCAGGTAATCCACCCTCCTGAACCCACAGGGTAGGAAACAGGAGGGTAGCTAGAAACATTTTGACCAGTTGACCGCGCATGAGCATTAGACCCCATTCGTTGCAGGATGGAGGAGGGGGCAGAGCTTTGACTCAGGAATCAGTTATGTAAATAAAGGGTTAAAAACCCTTTATTTAGCGGGGAAGGGGGCGGGGGTCAGCTTTGTATTCCTGGCACTACAATATCCCTTTAAATATGCATATTTCTCTTTGGGGTTTTATCTGAAAACAGCTTGTAAAAGCTGCAGATCTCTTGTCTGCAGCCTTTGCAAGCCCTCCATTTCTTCCCCAGCTCAGACTTTCTGGACTGTCCAATAACAGACTTTCCAGTGCAGCTTAATGATATGTCACTGCAATGCCGTACAGTTCCACTGTACTAAACAAACCAGGAAATAACAGGGCAGATTCTCTGACTGCCAGCCAGGGGGGTGTTAATTTAGAAAATAACAGGGCAGATTCTCTGACTGACAGCCAGGGGGGTGTTAATTTAGAAAAAGTGCCAATTTCTGTTATTCTGTACTTTTTGTAAACTGTAAAAAAACCAAAAAAAACTCAACACAAAACATTTCAGCAAACTGAAGTGATTTTAGATGTTTGGAGTGCCCCCTTTTTTTCAGCATTTTGTTAATTCAGGAAACTCTCGTTTTCTAAAAGTATTTTAGCATCCATATTCCAGGACCATCACATGCTTATGTTCTGGTTAACATTTACCATATATTTCTTTTACACTCATGCTTATTCTTGCTTGAAGTAAAGGTATAACCATGTAACAATGTAATTTGTCACTGTCTGTTTGCCTTCTTCACACACTCATGTTTTATTTGTATCTTTTTTTTTTATGCACACTGTATGAATGTTTTAAATTTAAAAAAAAATTGAATTTAAAAATGGTTTGAGAAGCTGGTCAATAAATATATTTTATGCTGTAAAGACTTCTGTTACATCTCTTTCAGGACTGTTGTATATTGTCATGTACTTCCATCCACAATATACAAATTGTTAAAATTAATGAACATTATACAGAAACTAAGATTGGACTCATACGTTTTGCACTTATTATTATTATTATTATTACTGGCATTTATAAAGCGCCAACAAATTCTGCAGCGCTGCATAATTGGAAAAAAGACAAACACAATAAGAACAGACCAATACAACAGGAAGAGGACCCTGCCCGTGAGCTTACAATCTAAATCAGAGGTATATACCCTTAACAAGCCTATAACAAGCTTTTATACTTTTTAAGGTGTAGGAATCTTTTGGCATGGTCTATAGCAGAAGCAAAGCAATAATGGAGAAATTGCACAAAGCTCACGGTATCATCTTTTTAACTGTGTTTTTCTTTCTGATTGGATTTTTCAGTCCTATGCTACTGTCCATTTGAATTTTAGCATATACTTCCACTTTAAAAGGGTTTTCCAGATGAATAATTTTACAACATAATGAAATCGACATCGTGCTTCACATAATTTATCCCCACGTAGGAGATGCTTGCTGGGTATTGAAACATCAAAACCTCTATTTAGTGTGATGCAATGATGTGTGCTTGCTCATGATATTATGCGTTCTGCCAGATGCATTGTTAGCCAGTTGTGAAACTTTTTAAAGAAATTTATGATAGAACAACATCATAAGTCAGAGACGGACAGATGCAGCCATCTGGTATTAGATAAACCATATTTCCTATATTCCTTGATTACTATCTGAATGGAGATGTATGATGAGTCTTACAGTCATGTTTTGAAAGTTGCATGTCTTACACTCCTCTATCTACTGTTAATAAATATTGCCAAATACATATACTGTAGCTTAATGCTTGGTATTTAAATAACTCTCATGTTTCTTTCCAGGTAAGATAGATGAGAGGAGCCAGCACTACTGTTAGATGATCTAGGTGCCTGCTCATGCTGCCATGTTGCAATAGCCACCAATAGCAAACAAATTAATAAAATAATTGCAACATCAGAGTTGAAAGTGAAGGAGATTTTATTACACCACGGTGGACCCAACAACGTTTTCAATTTACCAGGTCTTTGTCAAGTCTGGATTATTTTAGGATAAATTCTGTTTCAAATCCAAAATAGTGATTCTGAATTGAACAAATAAGAGTATACATTATTTAAGAGGCTCAGTGATCAAAGAAGATGACCATGAATTGTTGATCCTTTGTGGCATCCAGCTAATCCGTTCACATCCTCAGCAATGGAAATTTCCTGACTCAAAATATTAGCCATTCCTTGGAGGTTGCACTTTGTGTGTTTATAAAAATGAAAGAAAGGCCCAGCACAAATTTGTAGTGAAAAAGTTCCCATTTTATTGCATCCAACTCACCTAGCAATGTTTCATCCATGACAGGTGCATTGTCTCCATATGTGCAGGTGGAGATGTACACCAAAAAAAAAAAAAAACATACCCACCCCTATAACAATGAAACGCAAACGCTCTAAGGTATGGGTCAAAATGTCCACAGCTTTATTAAATAATATAATAATAATAATAATAATAATAACTTCAAAATATAAACTGAAACATGTAAAGTTATTGCCCGCCCCCACCCAACCATGCGTCAACAATACATATCCATAAATCATAAATAAGCCAATGACACATAGTGTAAACATTATTATAACAATATATCGACACAAAGATATATACACAACTCAACATAAATAAACACAAATAAAGTGCAACAGAAATTAAACACCTCCTGGTAGGGGGATACCCGGATACCCCACCAAGGTTCTGTGCCATGGACAGGCTCGATACCCCACCAACATTACACCAATATTGGAACCAACCAACTTGTAACCAATCGACTAACGTCCTTTTCTCTTCTGTAACTAAACCAGAGACTCTTTTCACCCTAGCTTTCCCCTCACCAACCTTGTCACTGTGACTAAACAAGGCCATAAAACAAAGATTCTACCCAAGGGAGGGAGGTAGGGAGGGACTATCATGGACTAGTGAGTTAATTAATAGTGACAGTGATAAAATTACCTATCTTGACCTATCATGTTAAAGCACTGCAGCACTGACTGGGTCCCCTTGTAATACATTGTCATCAGGTGGCCCTAAGAGCATGGACCATCCAATGGGCCCCTGAACATGCAGCCCCGGCAGTAATACAAATGTCCAGCTGCGACCACTGCCACCGCAGTAAGTCCTCCACTGTATAAGAGGACTTTCGGCACCCAGAGAAAACCTAAGTAAGAGGTTACCATTAAATGGGGCCAGAATACACCTAGCATCATAACTACATAGAAGCATAGAAACATAGAATGTGACGGCAGATAAGAACCATTCAGGTCATTTAGTCTGCCCAATTTTATAAATACTTTCATTAGTCCCTGGCCTTATCTTATAGCTAGGATAGCCTTATGCCTATCCCACACATGCTTAAATTTCTCCACTGTGTTAACCTCTACCACTTCAGCTGGAAGGCTATTCCATGCATCCACTGCCCTCTCAGTAAAGTAATACTTCCTGATATTTTTAAACCTTTGCCCCTCTAATTTAAGATTATGTCCTCTTGTTGTGGTATATTTTCTTCTTTTAAATATAGTCTCCTCCTTTACTGTGTTGATTCCCTTTATGTATTTAAATGCTTCTATCATATCCCCCGTCTTGTCTTTCCTCCAAGATATACATGTTAAGATCCTTTAACCTTTCCTTGTAAATTTTATCCTGCGATCCATGAACCAGTTTAGTAGTGTTAAGACACCCCTGGCACAAAGGAGTGAAACCGCCGTTTAGTTAAGCTTCCCTTTTCGCATTAATGCAAGCTCCATTCGTATATACATCAACCGTACGAACTGCAACCAGGGGAATGCGCCAATCTCCCGAACGGGACCCGTACGAATGCTCCAAGCTCCCGAACAATAAATCCACAAACCGCGGCTAACAGCCGAACAAATATATCCTCCAAGCGGCTTATGTTTCCAGCAATCAGTCGCTAACCGTGTGTAGTAAATCCCCCCAATAACGAGACCAAGCTCCGCATTGAGAGTAAAACAAGAACTGGCTTTACTGTGGGCTAACCGCCCGTATATATGCAGGTCTCCCACTTGGTGGACACTCCCCTAGGGGACCAAATCAGAGACTGTAACTGCAGACAGACATATGGCCCTTTAAGACATACAGGCACAAAATATTCCCATAATGCATCCCGGTTTCCTCCCCTCTGCCCTGGAAATAATTGAGAAGTAATTCAATTATCTCCAGGACAGAGGCAAATCAACATTTTAAGTAAAACACAAAATACACATGAAAATAAATAATTACACAACTACGGAACATACTACATTCGTGCAACGTATCCCCAGATAGCCTGGATCTGAGTGCATATTCTTAGCGAATAGCACTCAGATCCATTACGCACAGTTCATTCACCATGGAGTCAAAGTCTTTTAAAGTCTTTCGGTATGCGATTGACTCCATGGGAAGGCTATCTGGGTTAAGTCTATTCGTATAATCCAAACTCCCGAACGGCCAGTGTTCGGATGCCTTGTCGACTGAGAAGGGTGGTCTGTGGTTTTCAGCGGTGTTCGGCAGAAAAGGTGTCCGTTTTTAGTTCCATAGAATCTGTGTCGAACACCGCTGGTCTTTCGCATGGATTAAAATGGCTGCCGCCTCGTGGTCAACATACGAACGACGACCACCCTGCATTCGGTTATAATTAAGAGGTGTCTGCGGTTAACCACAACGTTCTAATTGGGGCCAAGAGGTTAACCAGCAGCACACTTCTCTCCTGGGTGGCCATCCGTTCGGTAGTTTTATTCGGTATATTTTGAAACAGACGAACAGGGGCATACGAACAGGTAATTCCACGAAAAGAGGCAAAACAGACGAACCAGCAATATCAGTCTATACAGATGGATCTGTCACATGGCTCCCTCACAGATAGCGTCTCCTGGCAATACGGTCTAATAACTCGTCTACCCGGGGCAACGGGTAGGCGTCAGTGGTGGTCCACTCGTTGAGCCGCCTGTAGTCCACACAGAACCGGGTGGTCCTATCTTTCTTAGGCACTAGGACCACAGGCGAGGCCCAATGGCTGTCTGAGTGTTCAATGACTCCAAGCCTAGTCATCTCCTGTATCTCCTTCCGCATTCCTTC